CCCCGGCCCCCCGCCGGCCCGACGCGCACCACCGAGCACTGCGCGCTACAGCGGCCGCCGCGGCGGCTCCAAGCCCTACCGCCCACCATGAAGAAACTGGCGAGGAAGGGATGCGACCACAAGCGCTTCCTGAAGAATAACTGGCTGCTGCTCTCCACCGTCGCCGCGGTGGTGCTAGGTGAGCGGCGCGGAGGGTGGGGACGCGCGCAGCCTCACGCGCTCCAGCGCCCAGGCCGCGTGCGGGGCGGGCGGGCGGGTGCGAGGGTGGGCCAGGCGTTGCACAGCCAGTGCCCGGGTCCCTCGGCGCCTTCTCGGCCTCGGACCCCACGCGGGAGCTTGCCTCGCCCACGGTGTTGTTTTGTGCCTGGGAAGAACAAAGCTCATCGGGGCTCCCATTTGGGTGCCCCAGGAGCTGAGCTGCCGGGTCCTGCTTTACCCAAAACGATCAAAAGGGTTTGGAAGGGGAAAGGGAAGCAAGTAGCTCCGGTTTCTTCCCGAGTGGAAGCAAACATGGTGTGTGTGTATGTGTTTAATGGTATCTGCTCCCCAATTTTTGGTCTGAACCACGCTGCCCGGACAGAGATGTGGATTACAGTTCTCCTTTGACTGGAAGAGGCACCTTAGCCTGGGACGGCCAGGGCGTAGGGTGGGGGGTGTTGCCCTTGCTTCCCAGGGGGCAGGGGCTGGAAAGGCGCCTTCCCAGGCAGCGAGCACGAACTGCCGGCACCCGGGCTCTGAAAACCTGCCACATTCGTGCCAAATGCTGGGGTGACGGGAGTGGGAAGAAGAGATCCAGCAGAACTCAGTTTTCCTCCTTCCCCAACCTGCTAATGTGTAGACATGGGCTCCCTGAACTTCCTCCACACTGTTCTTCTATTGAAAATAATTTTCAAGTCATATTTGCTTGTTTTTCAACAAAAACGTATTTAAGTGATTGACTCCTGACAGATCGCTGCACTGGGTGGATGTCTGAGCCATTGCTCAGCGGTGTGAGTGGTTCCTGTTAGGATTCTGGATTTCTGCCAGGTTGTCTGTTTTACAACCTGGGCTCTGGGATGCTCCTCTTTGAGCAGGAGCCATGTCTGTCTCCTTTACTCTGTGAGTTCACACAGGTGAGGACACACAGGAGGTGAGACTCCTTTTAAGTCCCCACCTTCCATTTGGAAACAGAAGCTGGGACCCACCAGCTGGCATGGTTCAGTAGATGAGCGTCAACCTGTGAACCAGGAGGTCTTGGTTTGATTCCTGGTCCAATGCATGCCCGCACCCCCCCCCCACCTCCCTCACCTCCACCCCTGTCTGCTGCTGCTACTTCTGCATCTCAGAATAGTTGGTGTTGCCTGCTCCCTCACTTAACCCCCCAGATTTGCTCCTCCAGAAACTTGTGCAAAGTCAAGTCAGGTTTCTAGTAAATAAGTAGCGTTCTCTAATTGTCTTAGCAGAGGCCATTTGTGGGAGGAAAGCAGAGAAGTAGAGAACCAAGTCTTGACCACTTAGCTCTACTGTATCTCTCCCTAGAAGGGTCAAGTGGCTTAGGGCGGTTTTAGGGAAGATTGGTTTTTCCCCACCCTGTTCAAATGACACATGACACAAAGAAAGTGATTAGATTTCCCTGCGGCCAAATAGATGAGATGATCTTGATTGTTTTCCTGTCTCCGTGTAAGGACAGTTCAAGGGTAAACCTAGCCTGACATTTCCCTCCCAATTCCCTGTGGAAGTGGAATCCTGCTTTTCCGGCCATGGGGCTCTCCAGAGAGACTCGCCTGTTAACCGCGTGTTGCTGGCTTGGAAAGGATTTTGAGCAGTTGTCCCCTGGCCTTTAGAACCTGTTGTGTAGGTACATCTTTGGAGTCAAGAAGGATGACATGCCTATTCTGCAAACCTGGCATTTGGTCCTGATGGTCATTTTCCCCCCAGTTTTAATGTGAGTGAGCCCAGGAGCTTGATTCAGAAAGGAAAACCCCCATATAAAAATTGTGAGGGCCCAGCGGAAGTATTCCTAGACGTTTGCCCCTCCAGGAGCAGCACAGGGGAGTCCCCTAGTGTTTCTGCTCCTGGTCTGAGAAGTGTCAAGCCTGGGCCACCCCCAGTGAACCCATCCATCACAGGCACTTCCCGAGATCCTCCTTTTTCCCTCTTTCTTCAGAGCACTGGGCCTGTGTGGGGATTACTAGTATACCTGTTTGTGTTGTCTCATTGGTTTAACCAGAAGTGAAATTCCAGCCAACTTAGAGCAGTGACGCTGAGTTCATTCCTAAGAACTTACTAGTTCATGATATTAAGTTTATTTTTATGATCTTAATTGATACAGAAAATCACAAACACTCTCATGCAATGTCCCTTCTGGACCTTTGAGCATGTGGATCTTAAAGATGTACGAACTCTTAAATTTATTAACTACCCTGGCACAATGTAGGGCTGATTGCAGCCATTAAAATGTTGGGTCCCTGCTGTGTAATTCAGCAGCCTTGACACTTTCAAATATTTTTATTATTAAAATGAGGGGCAAAAGTATGAAACAGCTTAAAGTCTTTGATTTTTCAAGACATAGTATATCTTTCTTAGGTGTGAAAGTTCATTGTTTTCATGGAAAGAAGACGCTAACTGCTAAACATTTTCTCAAATACTTAGTCATGAGATAATGGGACTGAATAGTTAAATAACCAAATTTGTTAATTTCTGTGAAAGCCTATAAGGTCCTAGTGCTGGGGTCCAATCCCAGCAGGTCCAGGGGTCCCCAAAGGTGTGGACAGAGTTGGTGAAGAAGGAATGACACGGAGACAGCCTTCAGTTGATCAGCAGCCTAGCCATGATCTCTAGCCAGGATCTGGTTAGGATCTCCAGCCAAGGTCTGGCTAGGATCTCCAGGGAAATTCTGGCCAAGTTCTGGTTAGGAATTGATCAGGATCTGATGTTTATTGTCTTGTTACATCTGTATTTATACCAGTCGATTTTAATCCTGTCAATTTCTATTGCAAAGGTTAGGGCGTTTCTTATCTCCATTCCAGGGAGTAAAGATTATGTAGCTTAAGTGTTATTGTTTGTAGTTAAAGTGATTAACTACCCGCCTGGCACTTAGTTAAGGGGTTGTATCCCCTCCCTAACCTCAGGGGAAAATCCCCACCTGGGGAAACAACCTTTCTTGGAGAGGTGACCTTGGTTAAAACACATGGCTCTAAGGAGAGCAAACATATTAAGAACAATATGCTATATATGCCAGGTCCCTTGAAACATATGCTGTGCAGATGTTTCTTTCCTACAGCGATTGTGTCAAGCAGCAAGGATGGACCGGCTTCCGGCATCCTAGAAATAATATCTCGGCTATTCAGATGAGAGGCCTTTATGCAGGCACCATTAGGGACAGTTTTGTTGCCTTCATTACAATTCTCACAGGCTTTTTCCTGCTTCTGTAGTGTAGTAGAATGAGCACAGAGCCTGGAGTCTAGAGTGCTGGATTTGAATTCTGACACTACCAGACTCTACCATTTAGCCAAATCTCTTATTCTCTGGGATCCTCAATGTCCTCATCTGGAAAATAGGGATATTTGTCATGACTTCCTTTGTTATCAGGGTTGATTAATATAGTGTGAAAACACACAGTTGTGGCACATAATAAGCACTTAATAAATGTTATCTTAAGGTAAATCGCAATAATTTTATTCTGAGGAAGTTAATATTTTCTTATGAAATAAAGTCTCATGGTCTGTTCTGCTTAGTGTCTGCCTTATACTACAGAGTTCAAGGTGATTCGAGTGTTTTGATGACATGCTCTGTCTAAGGCCCAAGAGTGGGGAACCTTTTTTCTGCCAAGGGCCATTTGGATATTTATAACATCATTCGCAGGCCATACAAATTATCACCTTAAAAATCAGCCTGCTATATTTGGTCGAACATTTAATTAACTCACCTCTAATGCCTTGGCAGGGCCAGACCAAATGATTTCTTGGGCCTAATACAGCCCATGGGCCAAATGTTCCCCAAATACCAGCCTCCAGGGCATTGTTCAATTTTTTTAAAGGATATTTTTTAAATGCTTTTTTTAAAGACTTAATCATTTTGTCTTGTGCCCCATAGCCCAATTCTCAATTCGTTTAACAGGCTGAAACAGTGAGGGAAGAATTTTTGTGTTTCAAGTGGGAATTCTGTTCACGCAGAATCTCGGTGTGAGAATTCTGTGCCAGGGCATTCTGATTCAGGTCACCCAATGCTCATATTGTGCATAATCTTGGTAAAGCACTCGTGGGGTCCGTACCCTATTCACAGCATAAAGCCTGGTCTTTCTGTCTTTCAAGACAGTTTATGCTTTATTTCAATCATTTAGAAAATCTGATTTCTAGCTTAAGGATTCTCAGGAAAGGAAATAGATGTTATTTACACAACAGAGCTGGCAAGCTTATTCATTCTGAATAATTTTCTTTGGAGTACCCAAGGAAGCAATCATTTCTAGATTCAGATGCCATTGTCTACAACCAGGAACCGTTCTTAGTAATACCCTTGCCTCAGCCTTGCACCTCCTGCACTTGAGTTCCTGTAGGTGTATATCTGGCGGTGCTAATTTGAATCATGGGATATGCTTTCTTGCTCTATCTGTTTTTATGTGTCTGTGAAGTCCCTGAGGACAGGGGCGAGCCACAGCTCAGGCTAGTTCCAGGCCCAGCTCATCACCTGCACGGAGCCTTGCGTACCGCAGTGTTCAAAATATGTTTCGTTTTCCATGAAGCTCATTTGTTGTGGCAGGTCCCAGGCCTGGTACTGCTGGGCCTCTAATCAGCTCAGCCTTGGAATGCACCTGCAGTAACCAACACTTAAATCATTCATTCATTCAACAAATATATATTGGGCACCTACTGTGTGCCAGGGACTGTTCTAGGGCTAGGGCATACAGCAGTGAATAAAACAGTAAAAACCCTGTCATCCTGGAACTTATGTTTAAATGGAGAGAGGTAACCAGTAAACAAAATAAATTGGTAAAAGACATTAGATTAGAGGATGAGCATGCTCTAGAGCAGTGGTTCTCAACCTTCCTAATGCCGCAACCCTTTAATACAGTTCCTCATGTTGTGGTGACCCCCAGTTTCATTGTTACAAATTGAACATAATTAAAGCATAGTGATTAATCACAAAAACAATATGTAATTATATATATGTTTTCCGGTGGTCTTAGGCGACCCCTATGAA